AAGAAGATCCGACTTTAAGCAAATTTCATCACATTAACTACAATAAAACTTGAACAAGGTGGAAATGAGGTGGAAACAACATTCAAGAAATGTTCTACTTCATTGAGCCCCAGTGTCCAATTTGTTTGTTAAGCCCTAGAGTGCTGAGAGGTGTAGTACACCTAAACAGATGTTGCTCCACAACAATCAGGTCAATATGCACAATCTCAGTCTCTATGGATAGGTAGGACCCCGGAGAATATATTCCCAGTGTTGGTAACATTTTAACTGTAACTCTAAGTAGATTGAAACAAACCAAAGGAGAATTTCAGATTTGTATCCTTACCTAAAATTTAATCTAGAATAGCCGGTAAATAACACCATGATAGTAGGAGTGTAACAATGAATCGTGGAACAATATATCATGATTCAAAAATGTGACAAGAGGCATCGTAAAACTGAAAGTGGGTCATAACATCAAGCCCAGCCTCCAATGTAATTCATGTAAACACAAGAGGGGGCAATAGGCCAGATCTGTTTTCTTAACCAGACTGTTCAGTCTAATCTACAGAACAATGGACACGTCTGAATAAGAAACAAACTGTTTGAAAACAGTTTTTGTTCATTTACATTATTAAGAAGAACAATTAAGATGAAAAATAACTGACATTAGTTTTCATTTTTACTGTGTTATCGTGGGTGTACCAAACTGTAAGCCCTGTATCGAACATATCCGTGAGCTGGCTGTATTGTTACGGCCCTACATGATAGCAATGATTCCATGCACAAAGATGCCACTGAATTTATTCAACAACTACATGACTACAACTGTAGCAAAGCAGACAGATACACCACAAAGTACACAGATTCTATGAAGGGTTAGTAAGGATTTGATAAAGCGGACTCTCCATTTGGCCAGTGGGACAATTTGTGCCAGATGGGGTTTTCACGTCTAGAGAGGGAATCTGGCTGCAGACACTCAATAGCAGGAAATCACTTTATTCTGCAAGACAAGACACCAACCATTCTTAAGAATCACGTTGTTTGTAAAAGCCACTTAAGAAGTTTTCATGAAGATACTGGCCTTCACCAGTGTTTTCTTATCAGGAATTTGGGTAAGAACCTAATCTACACACACTCAGGAGCACGTCTATGAACATGAGTGCTGACATGTTTGTGTGAAATAACTCATTTTCTTCAGATCTACATCTGTATAAGATTGTGATTTAAAATAACAGCATTGTCACTATTAATATTATAAAAAATATTTTCCCATCGTTTTACAAAACATTATGATCTTTGAAAAGGAATAAAGGACAGCTGATTTCTTGCCATTGAGTGTGATCCTGATTTATGATTACTGACTTTTTAAACATGAACACTGCATTTTTACTGTTCACCTTTCCTCCAGCGTTTCAGCTCATTCTCTAGTTTTTGGATCATGATATTCAAAGTCCTGCTCTTCTCTTTCTCCTTCTCATACTTCTTCTTCCACTCCTCAGCGGTCAGCTCCAGGTTCACAGTCACCGTGTTATTTATGGTTTTAGCTCTGAAACACCAAAACAGCAGGAAGTTTTAGAAAAGCTGGGAGACTTTCTATATACTTCAGGTGAGCACCCCTGTCAGAGATTGTTTTCTGGCAATCAAGTACTTGGTGAAGTTTTCCTGTATTTTCCATAGTTTGTCATGTACAGCACTTCAGTGTAACATGCTGGTTTACTAATCCAGTCTTATTGGAGAGGCAGGTAAATGTTAATGTGGCTCCATTAACATGCAAAACTTCATCAACCAATTAACAACAACATTAACAAACCAGCGTGATCATCAGGTGCACACTTTTGTAATCTAAGATATCCAAAGTAAAAATAAAACTTTTGAAAGTGGCTTGATACTGTATGTTGTAAAATAACATGAGGTCTTTAAATACATCGTCCAAATATCCATTTAACAGCGTTGCTCCACATCCTAATGACAACATTACTATACACAAGTTAATGTTGTTATAGCTTTGTAACATTTTGAACTACAGCGTCCCAGCAGAAGGAACTTTGCATACAAAGTACATTTACTCAACTGCTTATTTTGCCAATTAATATTTAACATACAAAACTATATTAAGCTTATAAAACCTGATTTACAAAGAACTAACTTTTGTCATGTCATTTTAATCTGTAACCGAATCCCTAATTGTTTCCCCCCTCATAAACAGTGAAAATAAAAACTGCCTTTTCTGTATCAAAATACAGACACAAATTTCTGGACATGTCATGATAAGCACTTTTACTCTGACACATTATGCACATTTTACTGATAATATTTGCTGATTTTGAACTTCAAATGGGTTGGTTTTTAAAGGTTTTAGAATACCTCTGTCCAAACATAAGCGTGGACTTAGTTTCAGCCTCGTTGTAAGCAGATGGTGAACAGCATATGATGATGGTTGTTCGACAGTTTCCTCCCAGAGAGTCCTGCAGGATTCGGGTCATCTTACTGTCTCTGTATGGGACATGGGTTTTCTACAAGCCGACAACAAAGAAGATACAGAAACACTAATAATGTGATTTCTCACATTTATATGTTGATGGTGGATTTCACTCAATTAAAATCCAAGGTCATAGTTATCCTCCTAAGAACTGAAGATTCATGAGGCTAAATGCATTTGTTTACTTTCGTTTTGTGAAGTTCACATTTCCTGTGGCTCAGATAAAACTGGCTTCTGAATATTTCAGGTTTAAATTAGACAACAAAACTCATGCCTTGTTTTCTAACAATAACAAAGAGAAAGCTAGAGATGTCAGAGAAGCTCTCACCGTTCCTTCACTCAGAGCAGCGATAACATTCCCCAGAGCTGACAGAGACTTGTTGATGTTCTTGGCTTCATCCAACACGGCACCCTCTGCTCCTGTTTTACTCACCTGAACATCATCATCAACATCACAAACATAATCATCATCAGCACATTCCAGTAATTTAATTTTGATTAAATAAATTCAAGAGGTCAGTGAATTAACTAACAATCTGATTCAGTTCTTATATAGTCCAATCCATAAATCAATCTTTAACGGTTTCACATTTCACTCACTCTCAAGTTCAAAAACACATTTAATGACTACAAAGCACAACTCCATGTCTGTCACAAAATAACCACTTTTCATGTTCATTCATTCATGTGCTCCATAACACTGCTCCTCGAGACAGTGAAAAAGGCAAGAAAGAAAGAAAAAAGAACTTCTGGACTAAAAATGTGAAGTTGTAATGTGACTGATCACTAAAGAACTTAAAGTAAATTAATAAACTGAGTGTGATATAGCAGTGTGACCTTCTCACTGCCTGCCAAGTCCACCAGGTAAAGTTTCCCTGACAGTTTCATCTCCGTGTCCACATTCTCCTGCTTGATGTTGATCAGGAAAATGCTGTGACTGCGGGAGCTGTGCTCATTCATGTCTGCAGGAAAAAACATGTAAACACTTTTAATACTGACACAACATACACTAATCAGCCAGAACATTCTGAGTACTGACAGGTGACATGAATAACACTGATAATCACGTTTCCTGTTGGTGCGGAGGGGTATATCAGGCAGGAGGTGAACATCAAGTCCTCAAAGCTGATATGTTGGAAAAGGGAAAAACAGGCAGTGTAAGGATGTGAGTAACTTTGACAAGGCCAGGCTGTGATGGCTGGACAACTGGGTCAGAGTGTCTCCTAGGTTGCAGGCCCTGTTGGGTGTTCCCAGTCCGCAGTGGTCAGTAGCTACAACAGTGGTCTAAGGAAGGACAGAGTGAACCAGGCACAGGGCCACAGACGCCCAGGCCTACTGTAGATTCAGCTCTGAAACTTGATACATCCTTGTGGGAGTCTTTCTTAAAATGGGTGAAAATGAGAAACACACTGGTCTCTATGAAGAGAAACATTCGGAGGCTGTGGTGGTGATATCACACCTGGAATGGAGAGGCTGTTGAATGTGTCTAAAACATGATTTCTAACTTGTGCTCACAACACAGTTTTCACTGCTTTTACACAGGTTTGCCACTGAAGAGTTATGCTCTTGCTGACAGTAGAACTATGGAAGCAAACAGATTCACAGAGGCTGCAGGGTGACATGAGTGCCAGCCAACTGCCGGACTGACTCCTGTGCACAAAGTTTTAGGCAGGTGGTCATAATGTTATGGCTGATTGGTGTAAGCACATAGAAACTCAGCAATACTCCTCAATGACAAACCAGTAGTGTCTCCCTAGAGGCTATGGCATTCAATACAGCATCAATATTAACACATTTCTAAAATCCTTGAAAAAGCTGTTGCAAAGCAGTTATGTGACCACCTGCACAAAAATGATTTGTTTGAGGATTTTCAGTCAGGATTTAGAGGCCATCATAGTACAGAAACTGCATTAGGGAAAAGTCACTAATGATCTTCTCCTGTACAGTAGTCGTAAATCTCTGGCTCAACACCAGTCAGTCAGAACTGATGAAGCCTCTTGGATGAGAGGTGAAACGTCTTCGACCTAGAAATTTGGTCCAGTTGATTTTTTCAGCTTACTATATTTAATGGCACCGTAAGAACTAATGTGGCTGAACAGGGACAAGACTGATAACCATCTTAGGAACCACAAACCAACAGGGAGCCTGGCCCGTCCTGCTGCCAGTGAGTATATTTAACTGTACCAGTGGTTTCTAGTTAATGGGATGGCCTTTGTTTGTACCTGTGTAGTGGTGCCTTAAGGCATCCCTTGCTCCGGAGCCGTACATTTCATCAGAAACGGTCTGTTTGTTGTTGTGTCCTGATGCTTCTATTTTCTCTCTCCTCTATCCACTCACCCCAACCGGTCGAGGCAGAAGGCCGCCTACCAAGAGTCAGGTTCTGTCAGAGGTTTCTTCTGTTAAAGGGAGTTTTTCCTTTTCGTTGTTGCCAAGTGCTGCTCAAGGGAGTCTGTCGGGTTTCCCTTGTATTAGTGTAAGGTCTGGACCTGATTTTGTCAAGTCCCCTGAGAACTAAATCAAATATCATGAAGACTGATCTGTTCTTAGGGTTTGTCCAGAGAGCATCACTAAAGATCATGAGTCATTAAACATTGAGTCATTACAAATTGTAGACTAATTAAAGATAGTCGCTGTCACTGAAGACTGCAGACATTTAAATGTAAAACAATCTTCTAAATGTTTGGCAGAAATCTGAACCATAGAAGTAAGTCATATGATGTTCATTAGTTTCTCAGATTTAACCAATATTAGTAAAATTAGAAATAATAGCAGTAACAGTAGTAGGGGCAGTAAGAGTAGATGTAGTACTGTTTTGTGTGGACTTGATGGAAGCTAATCAAAATCTAAATAATGAATCAAGATTAGGAAATGCAAAGTAAAGATGCAGGTGAAGTGCCGAGGTTTTTTACGTGTGAAGTGACTCTGTTTTCAGTGCCCCGGTAACAGCAGCAGTAGTAGTATCAGTAGTACAGCTGGAGACTCACTGGTGACGGCGACATGTCTGTTTGTTTTTCCCTCATCAATGATGTCCATCACCTCCTCAGGACTGGAAACAAAACGCTCTGTGCAGCCCTGACAGGAAACACAGCAACAGCAGAGTACTGATACTGCAGTACTGGCAGCGCATGACATTTTGGCATGAATGCATTGCTAGTCTGCAAATATTAAAGATCCAATACCTTCACAAAGGGAACCTTGTTTTTGTCTTCATGAACAGCCAGGTTTGTCTTTGACACTGAAACATGAACAACATCTGTCGGCAGGTTGAATTTATCCCAGCAGCTGTAAATTAACACGGCGAGGTTTGTGTCAAAATGTGTTAAATATGTTAAAAAATATCATCCTCACCATCGAGCAAGTCTCTGATTTTATCCAGATAGATTTCAAAATATGAAACCTGCAGAAAGAAAGACATACAAGACAGACTAAGAGTATATATTATTATAATCCAGTATCATGTTAAATTCTCTCCTCCCCTCTGGAGTCACAGACAGTGTTACGTGTTTTCACTGGCTGAGGAAGAAAAATGGGATCAGTACATCAAACATCATGTAGAGATCAAATCCTCCCTTTCATTGCCTACTTAGAATTTTGCATCCTGAAACTTCTTCCCACATTTTTAAATATTTAACTATCTTTGACGTGCTCCTTGGTACAGCGGGGCTATTTAATTAACAGTTATTTCCACATTTCATCCACCTTAGCAGCCGTTTAGCTAAGCTTAGACTGCAGCAGGCAGCAACCTCTTGGGAAATAGCATTTTCTAGTTATATATAAAATACAGAAAAATGATTTATGTGCTGTTTTTAAGCTCTCTTTATTTACGTATGTTATTGTAGATCTTTATGCAGGTTACTGCAGGTCAAAGCAATTTTCTGCACTAAAAACAGAATGCAAAGTTTGAGGTAAAATACAGAAATTAAAATAATTAAAATGTAAAAAGTAAATACAGGAGCTTAAAATCCAGTAAAGCTATTAAAAATAAATGTGTTAAAAGACACGTCCTCGGTGTCCTTGAAAATGTCATCATCACCTTGATATGAAACTCCAGGTTTTTGTCCATTGAATAGATGTGGTCGAAGATGTCTCCTGCAATTCGAGGGATGATCCCCATCAGACCGGGGTCGTGCAGGTTCCCCTGCAAAATAAAATAATTCGGCCACAAAAACACAAACCAAAGTCTGAAGTCTGAGTTAAATTAACTGTTAATTAACAAAACCATGAAAGTGAATCAGACTGACTTCCATGGTATGCGTCTTTCCTGATGACGTCTGACCGTATGCAAATATCGTCCCATTATATCCTCCCAACACATCTGAAACACATCACACGCAACAGAGACAACACGCTGAGTGAAACGGCACTTTTCCATAAGTTCCACACAAATATAAAACACATTTACACAGTGTACATATATAAAGGGTTAATAACGAGGTGGCCTGACCTCTGACGATCTGTTTGGCGCAGGTGTCGTACACCTGAACCTGTTCGGTGATCGGAGGGAAGACTCTGTCAAAAATATATGGCTTCCCCTGAAACACAAGAAACATTCCATCAAAATAAAAGTCTGCAAACAACTCGACCTATGGTTTATTAACGGTTTCATCTCCTGTCTGAGAATCCACCCATTATTCAATCATAATAAAATTAACACTAATACAGAACACACTGGCTCACATGTTTGGACGTGTGTTTAGATGTGTTACCATGTGATCATTTAAAGCATTGGTGTTAAACCCAGTAAAAGCACGAAGCTTCACTTTACCTTCACACAAACCAAATACTGTATTAGTTTTACACTCTGATATCAAATGTCACCCTTGAAAAAGAACTCTTGTATCAGCTCTGAGCAGTGAGGAGGCTGCTGGAGGAGCCATGAACGAGGATGCATGAAAGCCTCGTTCCTAGGTTTTTTATGAACATGCCCTTTATCAGAAATCAGTTGGAGATTGGACAGTTGAGAGGAAGGATCAAAATCAAATCAAATGTATTTATATAGCACTTTAAAAACAACATCCAGTTGACCAAAGTACTTTACATGGCAGAATAAAATCACGATAAATGACTAAAATAGAGTAAATAAGATCAGTCCAAATAAAAATAAAACAGCACAATAACACAGACACACAGTTAACATACATTCAATAAATTAAAAATTAAAAGGAAATTAAAATGAATGCATCAGGTCCTACTGTGTATTAAAAGCCAAGCCAAATAACTATGTTTTAAGCAAGGATTTAAAAGTACTGAGGTCAGTAGCTGACCTAACATTAAAAGGTAAACTATTCCACAATTTCACTCCAGTGTTTATATCTGGCCATAGGAACCTCTAAAAGAAACTGGCTTGAAGATCTGAGGGACCTTGTAGGTTTGTGCCAGAGCACTGGTTCAGTTAGGTAAAATGGAGCCAAACCATTAAGAGCCTTATAAACAAAAATCAATAACTTAAAATCGATTCTAAAACAGACTGGAAGCCAGTGGAGAGAAGCCAGTACCGGGGTTATATGCTCGAATTTCCTACTACTTGTCAAAAGACGAGCAGCAGCGTTTTGCACCATTTGGAGACGAATGAGGGGAGACTGGTTAAAACCATAGTACAGAGCATTGCAATAAACAAGTCTAGAAGTGATAAAAGCATGAATTGCAATCTCAAAATCATTAAAAGAAAGGAATGACTTGATCTTGCTTAACAGCCTCAGGTGGCAGAAGCTAGATTTCACAACTGAGTTGATTTGCTTCTCAAACCTCAAGTCGCCATCAAACATCACCCCTAGATTTTTTACAGTTGACTTCAGATGTCGAGCTAGGGGGCCCAGGCCCTGGTTAGAAGCAGTTAAGTTTGCCAGGTCACCAGCCATATCAAAAACAAGGATGTGTCATGTTGCTATAAAAGTTTATCCTTGATTCTACTCCTCATAAATCTGCACAGAATTGTGTAAAGCCTACATATATATAATGATATTCTCATGGGATCCAGACAGCTGCAGATTTTGGAGCCAGGCTCCACAGTTGTTGACCACCAGCTGTAACAACTCAGGGATTTTTTCCCAGGTAGAAAACTACAGAAGAGTATTAGGGCCACTGCATAAATTGTTTTTGAATTCTGACTTTAAAATCAGAAGTATGGGAACCTGCAAGGATCCAAGTTAACTGAGTGAGAGAGCGCCTTTTGAGTCATGCTGGAGAGGAGCTATGTGTTGCCCAAAATTGGCGGATATAAGTGAGTTTTTGCATGATAGAGGAGTCCCAGATGAAGCTGTTTCATTAATGGAAGAGGAAAAGGTGAGTGAAAAAGATACGTGTGTTACTTTGGTGTCTGGCCTTTGTACAAACAGAAAGTATTTTTTAGAACCACAAACACCGGGCTGTAGGCTACTGCCCTGAAAAGCAGCGCCAGGTTGACACAGATAGCCTGCTCTGTCCAAGCAGTGTATGAGACTAGGACACTCCTGGAAGAGCTTTTCCATCAAAATATATTCACCCCTACGGGTAAATTAGAACATTGCAGCAGAAAAATAGTGGGATTAAGGAAAAGGACATGCATACAAACACAATTAGTATTTAAATTAGGCAATAAAAAGAGTGTGACATAACTGGAGACATTACATGATTTCATCTCTGTCAAAATATGTGCACAAGCATTTCACTCCCCAAATAGAACTGGCTTTTGAGTTTTCTACTTTGGCTGTGTGAGAGACTCAGGGTGAGACTTTCAAATGAGTTATAACTGTGTTTAGGTCTAGGGCTGATTAATAGGCTTGAGTCAAAGATCGCTGCCACACCTCCACCTCGGCCTGTGTTTCGAGGGATGTGACAGTTACTGTGACTAGGTGGAGTGGATTCATTTAGGCTGACATATTCTTCCTGCTGTAACCATGTTTCAGTAAGACACAATAAGTCAATGTGATGTTCACTTATCAAATCATTCACTAACAGAGATTTAGATGAGAGAGATCTGATATTTAATAGTCCACATTTGATTGTCCTATTACTTTCTACTATAAGAGGAGTCATCTTAATTTTAATTAGGTTCTTATGAATAACTCCTCTGGAGTTGATTCTTGATTTATATAATTTAGGTGGGCGGGGGGCAGACACAGTCTCTATGGGGTACTGGGAGCGTTGGGTGGGTAGCAGCTGCAAGGAGACAGCAGAGAGGCGTCTGCTAATCAGACCAGGTTTTCCCCAAAATGTTTTCCAGTTGTTATTTTCAGGGCACCACCTAGACGACCAGTGGTTTAAAGACGACATGCGGCTAAACATGTCATCACTGGTCAGATTGGACAGGGGTCCAGAAAAAAAACAGAGTCTGACATTGTTTTGGCAAAGATACACACCGGCTCAACATTAATTTTAGTGACCTCCGACTGGCGAAGTTGGGAGTCATTAGCGCCAACGTGAATAACAATCTTACTGTATTCACGTTTATCCTTAGTCAGCAGCTTCAAATAGGATTCAATGTAACCCGCTCTGGCCCCAGGAAAACATTTGACTATGGCCGCCGGTGTCTCTAGCTTCACGTTTCTGACTATGGAGTCTCCAATTACCAGGGGTGTCTTTCCAGCGGGTGTGTCGCTGAGTGGGGCAATCGATTTGAAACATGAACAGGCAGGTGATGCTCCGTGAGCATTTGCTGCAAGCTATGACTCTTGCAAACTGTCACCCAGCCACCTGTCTGAGATCCCGGCTGTTCAGGAAGCTCTGGGGGGGCGGCAGTGGCCCTACTACTCTTCTGTAGGAAAACATAGACTTACATTTTATTATTGGATTCCTAATATGAGGTGTGGGCTGGGTCCGGATCGACCCACCATCTGGTCTGGATCTGGACTTTGAGAAGCCCTGTCATAAAGAATGTGGTGAAGGAGACATAACCGTCTTTCTTGAGTCTGTTGTTTTTATCTTGTGAATGTAATTTTTGTATATTTTGTTGTAGGTGTTGAATTTTAACATGTTGTAAATTTGTATGGCTACCATCTCAGTTGGACTTCCAGCTAAATTAAAGGTAAAAAAAACAAAAAACAAAAAAAAACAACGTGATTTTGTTGTGACATTGCAGTTGAACTCAGATCAAATCTTTAGTGATTCAGAAACATTCGTCCCATGTCTGATCTCATCTCTCGGCAGCTCAGTCCGTGTTTCATTATGATGCCTGTTGCCATGGTAACTGCATCCTACTGGGAGATGACTGAACCAGTCAGATGGAAAAAAGATAATTGCTACTGAAAGATTACGGACACACACATTCCCTCCTTCTCACTTTGCCCCTATATGAAAAACACGCACTGAGAGTCCACACATGCACTGCATTCTGTAGCCTAGTAGGATGGACTACTGCATGTACACATGGAGAGTGCACACACTGTGTTGACATCATGAAGACATGGTCACTGCACCACAAGTTAAGCTAGCATAGCTGCCTAAAAAGGAACAGACAGTGCCAGGAGACAAAAGAGAGAATAAAAGTTAAAATAAATACAAACACCAAAGGTCTCACAGACTTATGCTGTTAATTGCTATAAATGTGGACCATCCTCACTCACATGGAGGTATTTTGACTTAAACATGAATGTTGTTCAGAAGATTTTTCTACAAACTAAACTGCCTGCCATTAAAACAACTCAACAGCTTGTTTCATGATCTGCAAACTAACCACTGCACAGCATATAAAGAATACGAAGAGCCTCAGGAGACAGGGTTAGGGGTAACAACCCTCAGTGCAACACCTGGAAATATAGCTTTGTATAGATCTGATCAAACTGTGTGTATTTATAGTTCTATATTTATAAGTACTTTATTTTCCTACTGTACCCTTTTTCTTTTCTTGTTCTCTCAGTCTTATCTTCACTTGTCTACTCACTGCCTTATGGATGAACAGTGTACATGCACAGTCAGAGCCAAAATCCTTGTGTGTCCCACACACCTGGCCAGTAAACATGATTCTGATATCCAGATACTTTTAATCACACACCCCTACTGTGGATATCGGGGAATGACAAGGTTTCTTGAATCTTTGTCTGAAGGGTTCTTTATGTAAAAACACTTGTTTTGACCCATCACAGGGTCAAACCTGGGCCAAGGACCACATATTGATCCTGTGCTGCAAATCACATAGCTGCTGCTGATATGGACACTGGATATTTCCCATGAGACCTTGCAGCATACCTCCAACCCCCTCTCTCAGTGGCCTGCAGCTCCAGACAACAGAAACTAAAGCCTGTTTCTACTGTGCTCTATTTTACAGTCAAAAGACTAGCATAATTATTAGTTTGTTCTGTAGAAACTTGACAATGAAGACACAATAAATCCATCTGGCCACAAGTTTGTGGACACTACTCTTCTGGTCTGGGTCAGTTTTGCTGGTTTAAATTTAAAGTATAAGGCCGGGCAGTTTCTAAATCAGTAGTATTTCCAGCATTCCCCATCCAGAGAGTAAAAGCAGCAGAGAACTGTCATGACTCACCATTATTGTCAGTCCTGGATTAGCTGATTTATCTGTGCCACAGACCTTCACCACTCTTCATAATCAATTCAGAACAGTGAAACACACCCTCAGCTCCAACTTCTGGACAGAAATTTTCAATAACATCTTTTCTATTACCAGCTATGTAAACTTACAACTTATACAATACAAGACCATTTATAGGACCCATATTACAGAAAGTAAAATGTTCAAAATGGGTTTCACTGACATAGACATCTCTTCACAATGTACTCTAGGTTGCAATGACAATTATTTTCATGCTACTTGGACCTGCCAACCAGTTCATTCCCTCTGGATAGCAGTGACAGAGAAACTCTCCACTACCTTGGGCTGTAGAATCCCTTCTTCTCCATCACTTTGCTTGCTTGGTAATATCACAGACGTTGACCACCTACCAATTAAATACAAAATCCCACTCCTCATTTCTCTAGCTATTGCCAAGAAAACAATCTTTCAAAACTGAAAATCAAGAAAATCACTACACATCAACCACTGGACCAACTTTCTGATGGAATACATCACATTAGAGAAAATGAAATCCAATCACAAGAACAGTTCATCAGCTTTTTATGACACATGGAACCCATTTCTAACACATTTCAACTTGAACCAAACACCTGGGGCTGAGGCCACGCACATTCCCACAAATGTAACAAGCTGATTTTATTAATAGTACTGTTATCATCATTATTATTGGTAATTTGGTTTACTGTTTACTTGCCCTTTGCATGGGGATATGTACATGCACATTGAGAGCCAATGTACTATCTTTTTGTAATGTCATGTATCTGTTGTCTTGTCTCACATGTTTGGTACTGTTTTGTTAATGTATTACTTTGTTTCAAAAAAAAAAAAAAAAAAAGAACAGTGAAACACACCACTGTACCGAGTGACGCTTCCTCGTTATGAAATGCCACACCTGCAAATTTGTTAAAAATGTTGCCTCTGAAGGAGCAGGGCTCGACTGCACCAATGCTCCACTTGCAGTCTACCAGCTCCTTGCTGTCGCTCACACCGTCCCTCTACTCTTACGCCACTGGACACTTTTGACCACAGCGCCATCTGATTCATATCACAATACAATGTTCTTGTTGCTGCGAGTTATATGAAAAGGTCAGAGGTCATCACTGGCATCGAGATGACATTGCCACGTCTTCATCTTTAAGGCCCCGCTATCCAAAGTGCTGGGATATTTGGCATGAGTGGCTGTGGCTCATGAGGTAGGGCAGTCCTCTCCTGACCAGCAAGTTGGTGGTTCGACTCCCGGTCTCCCCACATGCCTAAGTGTCCCTGAGCAAGACACTGAACCCCGAATTGCTCCTGGTGGCATGACTAGTGCCGGTGCATGGCAGCCTGTTATCATTGGTGTGTGAATGTGTGAATGGTGTATGATCTGTGACACTGTGAGAAAGCACTATATAAAATACAGTCCATTTACCATGAGTTCAGAGCATAATCCTGAACCGGGCAACAGGAGGACTTTAAAAGTTCCTCATGCAAACTCTGAACTGGGACAGACTGGTTACCAGTGGCACCTCACCATGGAAATGAGCTGCAATGCACTTACTCCTCCAAGAGATTTTAAAAAGTTAACAGTAGCTGGAATTGTTTTAATTAATGATTTGGTATGTGCGATGCTCTTGGTTAAACGTGCTGGAGGTAACCATATATTTATAAGTCAATATGTTATTTCTGTACATTTTTATGTCAGTTGTTCACTTGCCTCTCTTGGAAGATAGATTTGAAAGTTTAACTAACTTATCTATTTCAGGTTTCTATGCTTTTTGGTAATCGAGCTAGAGGGTGAAAATCGTTATTCACTGTAGAAGGGGCTTTTGGGGAACCGGTGTCACAGCTTCTTCCACAGAGCAGGGACCCTACGAGTGAATCCGGGGCACCATGCTGATGCTGAATGATAAGGCATCTACACAGTTCTCAAAACAAAGAGCTTGTAGGTTTCAGGAATGAAACCAAATTCAACCATGAGTTTAATGGGGATTCCAGCTTTCATCACAATAAAATCCTCTTTCCTCAGGCAGAGTGGAAATTATGGAAAGGAGACAAGTAAATCGAAGCCTCCTCGCTGTTACTACACACGGTGTGGGTTAATGGTCGGCAGGGCTCCAAATACACCAGGCTGCATCAACACACGGGTGTAACGTTTGGCAGAGCTGAGTGCTTTTAGCCGTGATGCTGCCCTTAACTTGAACCACCATTAGAACTGCAATCTGCCCCAACTGGAGCCACTTTTAAAACTGAAGACTGCTCTTTTTCCTGTTTTTAATTAATGTGTTTAATTCCCCCCATTTTGCTCTTTATCTGCTTCTATTGTTCATCCATTACCCAGTGACCAACTGACGCCATCGTGCGATTTCTCCAATCTTATGGAAGAAAGCGCATCCACCTGTGATGCTGAACTACTGAGGGGTTATTCTTGGGAAGGCTTGACTAAAGGGGTACAAGTGTTGTCCTAAAGGTACTAGGCATCTACACTTGCATGTTGCTAGTTTGTACTGTCTTGCAATTGTTACTCTTAACTGCCACTTCGTGTTTTATCCATCTGTGTGCATTGTGTTAAGCACTTTGAACTGTCACTTTACAAAAACGTACCACATAAATAAACCTGCCTTGCCTATACTGGCAGGTAAAATGACTGGCTGAACAACAAAGACGACAGCTGATGCGAGAAGTATGACCACACAGAGGATGTAGCGGATAGGCGCGTCTAAATGGCACCATTTGTTCTGGAGCATATGAAGACAGATCCTATCCGTGTTTCTCAGCTAGTGCCCCTGCCGACCTGCTGATGTATATATTTACTTGTCTAATTTAGACAAAAGTCCCTGTTGGTATAAAAGCCTGCCACCCTGACATGCTCGTAACCTTATCATGTGTAAAATTCCCAGAAAATACAATTTGCGTTCAGTCGTTCATCCTCACATCTTCTGGCGCGCCTACAGCACACTGGGGGGTTTGGGGCAGTTTCCTCACGGCTGTGAATCTCAGATATTTATTTACCTCTGCCCTGAAAACGCACCCGGCGTCATCTATATAATTTTTGTTATACAGCTGAGTTGTTATCATAACAACTGTCGGATGGCGGGGGCCTGCCTTGCGGAAGCTGCGGGGCATATTTAGCGGCCAGACCTCATCGTTTCTTCTGTTACACCTGACCTCTGTTAACCTGACTGACTGATAATCAAACTGTTGTGGTCCTAAGATCTACACCCGTGTAAATAAACTGGCTTTCCAGTTTCTCTCCATCACTGCCGGATCAACAGAAACGCCGAGACACCGTCTGTATGGTTTCCATTGTTGCTGCAGACAGGCGGAGGTATGACGGTAAAACACACACGGTTTGTACAGGTGTCGCTGCTCTAACCTAACACGCACGCACGGACTCACCGCTACGACCACCGTGTCCTCTCCGTTAAATTTGGGGATGTATTTGTCTCCGCGGGTCCGCTCCGCGTCGTTCAGCGGCCTGAAGCGACACATCACCTTCACCCCGCACACCGCCGCGTCCATCACTGACACAGGCAGGTAGAGAGGAGAGAAACAAACACCAACAGCGGCAACCCGGGAGAGAGGATGGCTTCAGGCTTAAACGAGACAGGTCCACACACACATCACACCGGCAACACTCCTCGTCCACCGGACACAGAGACCCAGTTCCGCCGGTAAAACGCCTACGGTAAATGAACCAGACTTCCGGTGTCACTCAAGACTTGGTGTCTGGTAGCATCTCTCCGGCAGAGCCCTGATTTAACAGTATCCCCCGTTACACAGACCCACCCTGGACCACGGAGCCGCGCGGCACTCTGGGAAACTGAGTCCGCACTTCATATAAGCCGGTGATGGGCACTTTGTTAACGGGAAAACGTGTGTCACTGCAGTAAAATCTAAGCCAGTCTATTAAATTCGTCTGATCAAATTAGTTTATAGAGGCAAAGCCCTAATAGGCGGCGCCAGCGTGGTTTTGTCTACATGAGGGCTTTACTATTAGCTGGTGTGGATACATAATTTGAGGAAAATAAACAGCTACCGTGCTGATCCAGGGTTGTAATAGGTCTATCCATGCATACAGCGCCTATTTAGGTAGCTGCTGTACAACTAGGCCACCGTCAGGATCACAACACAGACTCTGGTAAGAGGAGCAGTTTTTATGTATGTACACTACTGGTGCTCAGAGTCCTATCAAAGATAACTACTGTTCACCCGATTTGGAGACTTACAGTCACACTCAGGCCATAACATCTGCCAAGAGAGCTCTCTCTCAGTGGTAGTTATCACAGCTGTCTGCATCCCACCCGATGCTAATATTAGCACAGCTCTCAGTCATCTATACCACACACACACACCAGAGGGCATATATTGAGAGAGTACACATCAGCTGGAGACTTTAACCAGGCATGCTACACAACTATACTTCCAAAATTCAACCATATGAAATGTCTCAAAAGAGGAAGTAATATTAAGCATGGCTACAGAGCCATGCCCCTTCTGCGTCTGGGCTTATCTGACCATACACTCCTGCTCCTAGTCCCAGCCTCCACCCTGAGGTGGAAAGCAAGGCCCACCATAAAAGCCAACACCGGGCCTGAGGGAGCACTCTCCCAGTTGCAAGACTGTTTTCACAGACTAAATTGGACTTATGTGAACACCAAGATCTGGAATCATACACACAAACTGTTCTGTTTTACATTGCACGCTGCACTGATGAACCATGAAAAACCGCATTCAGGTCTTTCCAAATCAGAAACCCTGGATGACCAAAGAAATCTATACACTCCTCAGAGCTTGTAATATGGCCTTTACGTCAGGGGACAGTCACGCACCACAAGTATCCAGCACCACAAGAGCTGACCTAAAGAGACAAAGATGCCAATGGGTCTACAAGAAGCAAATTGAGGAGCACTTCACTGACAATAACACAAAGTGGGTGTGGCAGGGGTTCAGCTAATTACAAACTTCAAGCTCAACTGTTTCTTTGCACGTTTCAAAGTGCAGATTCCACTCTCACACATGCATCTCCCGATACCAGCACCTAGCCACTGGCTGTACAGGGACATCAAATGAGGCAGGTGTTCAGAGTGGTGAACCCCAGAAAGGCTGCTGGACCTGATGAGTTCTAGGCAAAGTACTCAGGGCCGGTGTTTATGAACGTGCTGGTGTCTTCACAAAGATCTTCAATCTGCCTCTTGCACAGGCCACTGTCCCACCTTGCCTTAAACCAGCCATTATAATCCTAGTTTCAAAGAAGTCGGCCATAAACGGTCTAAATGGCTACAGACCCATAGCTCTTGCACCCACTGTTACAAAGTGCCTTGAAAGACTAGTACTGAGGCATATTAAAGCTAGCCTCCCTCCAGCCTTTGACCCCTATCAATTCACATATAGGGCAAACAGATCCACGGGGACACCATCACTATAGCTCTCCACACAGCTCTAGAGCACCTAGAACACAGAGGGACCTACGTTCAGATGCTCTTTACTGATTACAGCTCCCCCTTCAGCGCCATTATACCAGACATACTGATCAGGAAACTGTTACATCTGGGCCTCCACACTCACCTCTGACTGGAGACTTTCTCACAAACCGCTGTCCCTCCCACTGTGATAAATGTGCAGATGACAGTGGGGGAATGAGTCTGCCTATGGAGATAATATCCAGAAACTGACACCGTGGTGCTCTGCAAACAACCTGTCACTGAACACACACAAAAAAAAAACAACAAAAAAACTCATCTTGGACTTCAGGAAGTGCAGAGCTCACCCATCTCCCATCTTCAAAAACAGAGAGTGTGGAAAGACTTCCTGGGAATTCACGTAATGGACAACCTCTCCTGGTCCACAAACACCATAGCTGCTGTTAAAAAGACAGCAGCACCAGCACTTACTGAGAGTCCTGAAGAAAACTGATCATAGAGAGAAGCTGCTGGCAGCCTTCTACCGCTCTGCAGTAGAGAGCATTTCAACATGCTGCCTGACAAAGTGGTGTGCACGATGCCCAGCAGCTGACAAAGCATTACAGAGGGTCATCAACACAGCACAGAAAAAAAATGGGCTGCCCTCTTCCCTCACTCAAGGACACTGCAGACACCCACTATTGCTCCAGAGCAAAGAACTTTGCCAGAGACTCTTCTCAGCCTGGTCACCATCCATCTGACCTCTTGCCCTCAGGGAGGTGATATAGGTCAATAAAATCACGAACCTCCAAAATAAGACGTACTTTCCCAAGGCAAGTAACACATAACGACTCTAAAACACAACCTTTAGTAATCTTGGTAATTTTCTAACATTTTATACCGAAGCACTTTTCCTGTCCGACGTGTACTGCAGCTGCTTGTGTGTATAACAACCAGGGGCACTCTATTTCGGTGTATTACGAATACAATATGGGCTCATCTTAAATAGCTATCCTATTTAATAACTGCAAAAATAAAAAGTGTTAAGGCAAAATAAAATGGCCTAATGGTAAACTGCGCACTGACACGACATTGCAGGACCGGAATGCAGGTTGACGACCATCCGAAGCCAACGTAGTTACAGACAACAGAGACGCTACACAAGTATTTTCAAAGTGATTAAACAGCCTAACAGAGAAACTAATGCCACAGCCCATAACCAGCGAGAAGAGGGCTGTTCACACCGCCTACTCACAGGTGTTGTCACATCCTGGGCGCCGGGACCTCCCTCCAGCTGCCGGCCAGCATCACCGAAGCACCACTTGGAGCTCCTCCGGGAAGATAACGCCGGTAGGTACCACCCTGCTGCTTTTAACCGGACAGGCTCTGCTGCGTTTGCGCTATCGGAACCTAATGAACGGTAAATACCCGTTCTACCCTCGTTGACCTCTAAATCAGTTTAAGTGCCTCTTCACATTCAACCCATCACGGGAGGCTGCTCGCTACTTGCGCTGCCTGGTTGCTGTCAGCTGAGGGCGCTATTGGACCGGATAACAGGAGGAACGGAGGAAACCGAAGGCGAATAAAAGAATGGATGCTGTTCGCAGTGGGACTACAGCCCTACCCATAACACCACCGCAGAGTACAAATACCCGTCTACATGGAAAGTCCTCCTTGTACAGTGAAGTACAATCAATGAGCTATCGGCGTCAAAACATTAGTATCAAGAGTAAAAGTATCAATTATGTAAAATGGCCCATTTCAGAATAACCTGTATTACTGGTTTCTTCAATAGGCTGCACACTGCGGGGCAGTTTTTATCGTTACCTCTAATACATCAATTCTTTTGCACTGAATTAAAAAAAAAATCTATAAAGCTGCTAATGTATAAGACAAAATGTAACGTGTTAAAGTACAAGTCTAAAATATTTACCACAAAACGAAAATATTGAAGTACCTCAAAGCTACACATAAGCACAGTACTTGTGTAAATACACTCTTTAGTATTTTGCAAAGAGTTAGTCCCAGTCTGTAGATGGCCTTGCATTTCTCTACTTGGAGTCTTTATTTCCCATGTTTGTGTATTACTCTGAAGTAAATTTAAATTCAATCCATAACAAACCAAACGTGCAGCAAAAGAAGTGGCACGGTCGATGTCTTTTTTATTTCTCAGCGTTTTTACCCAAAGCAAAAACAGAGCGAGAGAACCGGTCGACATCACATCGAGTCTGAAAATGTAAAGAGCAAAACCCTTTCAAAGCTTCACATTGGCCTGATCAGTATCTCATTTCACCTCCTGGCTTTAAAAGTACACCTCTCCTACAAAAGCATTTTTTTTTATTTTAATGAGTTTCAGTGATCAGAAGGACATAGAAGGAATCTTTACCAAATATTTAGGTTAAATCCAAACCGGCCTTGTTTCAGTTTTTGAAACCAAATTAAATCTGTTCTCCATCTTTGGGGAAAAAACTTTAGATTTTTTAAGAAATAAAAAATGTAAACATGAGATAAATAATTCAGAGCAAGGATACAGGACATCTTGTGGACCAATCAGAGTTGATTCTGCATCAATTGATCTGTTTCAGAAACTAAAGTGATGAAAAAATCTACTTTACATCAGAGACATTTACAAACTGTACAACAATTATTACAATAATAACAGCAATAACAATCATTAATATCCAAGCGCAGTAAAATCACACCACCTCCTCGTTCTGGAGGGTACAGCGTGTCACATTCACTGGTCAGAGGAGCAGCAGGGGCTAATGGGATATGATGTTATATGACCTCCATGGGCAGCGTGGTCTCCGACAGCCCGTTCAGGAGTCTCTCCGGCTCGTTCAGGTCTCTGAGGAAAAACGCAGTGATGGCATCACTTCTTCCAAAGAAAGAATGGGCTAAACCACAGGTGGTATATAAATGATGGACAGTCTAACAGGTCCCAGAAGTGAAGTCACCACGAGCCAATCACCCCCTGGTGGCTGGGTGCGGTATTGGTCATAAATCCCACCTCCGCCATGTTAGTGGATAGGGCATAAGCGAAACTAAAAAACCAAGTACAAATCAACTATATTTTTCCCAGAGGTCACTTCTGTGGTTTCTGGTAGATGTTATGAGGTTGATGTGTGAACAAGTAGTTATTGTTCTGGTAAGATTGTTTTTAATAGGTTATTTGACAATACAAAAACAGGTGTGTTTCTGTTGACGTGACGGCTTTGATCGGCGGTTTGATGCTAAAACTTCACTTCTGGGCCCGTATTCACAAAGTGTCTTAAGCCCAAAGAGTTGCTCTTAGCAATGAAATTCTAAGAAAAAGCTTAGAACTGACATTCATTAAGAAATTCCACTTAAAATTAAGACAACACCCTAGTAAAGAGACAGTATGTTATTCACAAAGCATCTTAGCCCCTAAAAAGAGCTCCTAAGGTAAAAGCTGTTAAGAGTAGGAGAGGAGGACTTTTAAGAGGCTTATAATAGTCTAAGGGTTAGGCCTGATTATGTCAGGTGCCCTGAGATTGTTGTTGTGATTTGGTACTATACAATAAACTGAATTTAAGAGTTTAAGCTTAGGATAAAATGATGGAAAGACAAATGGCGAACAACTGAGTTAAAGCTACGATATGTAACTTATAGTAGCACAAGCATGAAACTCCAAGCCAGCCCACAATGCTCCGCCCAGCGCTCCCTCTCCCTGCTCTAATACGACCTGCTATGCTCTGCCACACTCTGCCCAGCACTGAAGATATTTGTCATTATTACAATAAATGAGAATGCAAGAAAACTTACTGATCAAAGAAATAACTGTATATCTGACTGGTTAGAGGTCAGTCCCGATATCTCTGCACTACTGTTCAATGAGGTTTCGACAGCACCTCTCCACATCAAGACATGTTAAAAACATTTCTACAACAAAAATATTTGAAAATGTTTCATACTATAGCTTTAATCAAATGCTACAGATACACCACACCAACACCATGAGCAGTCACTTCTCAGCTGCTGGCACCACCCCCACGTGATCAAGAAACCTAGTTATGGGGTCAATCACACCTCCTTACTAGATGGTTTTTGTGTTTTCCTTGCTCAGAATTGCGTTGAGCAGTTTCCTAAAATCACTTCTAAGCTAAGACTCCTGCTCAGGGTTTTTAGGCCAAGTTAAAAGCTCTCAAAGAGTCAGTATCAGAATGTCTGAATTCAGGCCCAGGTATAGACAGAAACATTCCGGCTGATTTTATTGTCATGTTTGATCTGAAACATCCTAACATATGAACTATAATCATGTTAATATGAAATGACATGGGATACTGTTATTTCCATTTATTTCAGTAATTTTATATTCAAACCAAGGCTTGACTGTTGCAATATTAGACAAATGTTATATATATATTTTTTTGTCTTTCCTCTCCCCTGAACATTTCTCTTTACCCCCTCTCTTCTCCGCTCTATCCTTCCACCCCCAATCCATGTTCTAATGATTACAGGGATTAATATAGGTTAGTTATTTTACAGCGACTGTAATTTTGGTTTTTTAGTGGTTGCTATAAATGAAGTCCTCCACAATTCGCTGGTCTCCTGTGCATAACTCAACAAAAGGTGTGCAGCGGGTTCAACTGTCAGGAGCTTCTGATGCAGGACAGCAGATGAACAAAAGGTCTACACTAGGCTGACCAACAGCAGTAATGTACTTTAAAAATACTGTGTTCATAAGAATCACCTTTATTTGGCCAAGTGTGTTAGACACACAGGGAATTTGTTTCCGGTACAAAACTGCGTTATCTGAAATAAAATGACATGTTTTTATGTATGGATTCACTGATTTAGATTTTTTTTTTTTTTATCCTGGCTCACCACAGAGGGCTGAGGCAGAGTGAGACCTAAAGATCAATGGCTGATGTGGTTTACACACACGTCGGACACATTTTATAGAATGAGTTCCATTTGCTGTGGGACAAAGGAGCTGAAAAACACTCACGGTGAATCGGTCCTAACTGCACCTGTGAATATGACTTGCCGTGCTGCTTTATGGCTTTCTCTGATGAGTCACTTGGTGTTAACTGAAGTGATTTTTTTTTTTGCCATGATGGCAAAGATTTTGGCATGGCAGGGCATCACTGAGGACTGTTACCAGCAGAAACACTGATACTGTTAATCTCACCAGAGCTTGTCAAAGTAAAATCCCTGAAACAGGAACTTGAGTCCTGGTCCTTCTTTTAACACAACAAAGTTTATCCTTTCAATTTGACTTTTTTTTTTCCTTTCTGCCATATAACTTTTCTTCCTGATGTTACTTCTTCCTGTTACTCTTCTTCCTGCCAGTTGTCTTCCCTTTGGCATTTTAACACATTTTAACATATGTGGCAACTAAATATTTTTCAAAAAAACAAAAAAAAAACAAAAAAAAAACTTGTGGATTCATTGATACAAGATGTCCTATTAGAGAACAGGTTTAAGACACTGACTACAAGCTGCAATGCCCAAGTTCAAATCATGCAGTGGCATCTGTTGGGGAAAAAAGGCAAATATAGGAGGCAGGCTATTTACCTGGACAGGTGTGTAGGTAATGCTGACCTGACGGTGGAGACTTTGTGCACTCGGTCACGGCTGGCGGCAACACCGGCAAGCTTTAAGGCAGATGTTGGGGGAGCAAAGGGTCGAGCAGTGTGGGGGTGGGCAAGGGAGACGGCTCCCATTTGGCTGCTCAGGTTGGGGAGGGACTGAGGCGAGGAGGACCATGACCCCTGAGCTGACAGTCCTGAAATGCTAAGAGAAGTGGAGGAGTATGGAAGCCTGGAGGGATCTGAAATACAAACAGTTACATTTGTGTGAAATGTACCATATAAATCTTTTTAAAATTACCTGACAATCTACATCTGTAATCCATTAAGTTCAATCTTTTAGAAAAAAGTCTTTGTTGGCTGAAAGTGTATAAATAAAAGTCACTAATTAAGCAAGAAATGTTAACTGTTGCTAATAGGGATGGGCATTACAAGCTAAAATGCTATTCGATATTCACTGGGAACTAGTCGACAGTTATTCAAAGACCACCCCCTACACACAATATAGCTCCATATCGCTAATGTGCACATGCTGCGACTTTACCTGAAAGTCCCCAGTACATTCACCAGGTTAGTCTGAAGAATAGCGCTCTATTTTCCAGGTGCTTACATAATGTCAGGTGACCATCACATTCAATTCAGTTGTAAGCACCATCTAAGCTTCACAGACACTTTTTCAAATGACCGTGCAGCTCACATGCACTATCATCATACAGTTTATCCAGCCTGCCCTGTTTCCCTTGATGGAACCGTTTACTCCGACTGAACAAATGCTATCAAACTCAAAAACCCTCGCCTGGGACAAAACTAATAGGCAGCAAGTCCTTTGCTGTCATCTTTGTGATAAGAGCTGTTATTTGTTCATCGGACTTCCTTCTTCAGCTGACAAAGCTAGCCACTGACTGCTGATCTGTGGACTGCACCCCAGTTCTTTGCTGGATGCCTCTCCTTCAAATGGCTGTTCATAGTTGTTGATATGCTAACTTAGGCTGGCAGAGTTTGCACTGCACCTCATTGTCATTAATTTTCTTGAAGTTCCACACAGAACTTTTTCATGGCTGCAGTCTCTGCACGTTTCTGCTGTTTGTATTTGGTGCTCTAGTAAAATTATATACTGACCTCGTTACGCATCATTTCCAGGTGCAGGTAAAGGGAATGGAAAACAGTGGCTCTGTTTTTAAAGACAAAACCATAGTCACATGAAATAGATTTTTTTAATTTAATGACTATTTGAAAATCATCGTCCATCCCAATTTGCTCAACGCTAAATGCTTGCATGGTTGTGGTCTTGGTGACATGTTTACAACATCCAGTAAACATTCAGGATTGAATGGACCAACTACAATTTCTACAGCTCCCAGTGGTAGCAATTCAATAAAAAAAAAATCTCATTTTTCCAAAGGCCTTATCATGTAAATGTTTCTGCCTTTAAACATGTCAAAGGAAAAAATGGCGCGACAAAGGAATTGGTAAAAACCTCTACTCAAAAAGCCTACTCTTGACCCAGGTGTCCTAGCTAATTATAGACCAATATCCAATCTCCTGTTTATTTCTAAAATCCTTAAAAAAAGCTGTTGCAAAGCAGTTATGTGACCATTTGCACAAGAATGATTTGTTTGAGGATTTTCAGTCAGGTTTTAGAGTCCATCATAGTACAGAAACTGCACTGGTGAAGGTCGCCAACGATCTTCTCCTAGCCTCAGACAAAGGACTTGTCTCCATACTTGTCCTCTAGGATCTCAGTGCTGCTTTTGACACCACTGATCACAGCATTTAACTACAGAGACTTAAACATGTTATTGGGATTAAAGGAACCACACTAAGTTGGTTCTTACTTATCAGAAAGATTCCAATTTATTCATGTTAATGATGACTCTTCCAGACAGAAGTTAGTCACGGCATTCCACAGGGCTCTGTGTTAAGTCCAATTCTCTTCACTTAATATTGCCTAAAGGGAGCATGTATAATCAGGGGAAACGGCATAAATTTCCATTGCTGTGCAGATGATACTATGAAGCCAGATGAATCAGATTAACTAGTCAAACTTCAAACATGTCTTAAAGACAAATGCCTGGATGACCTGTAATGTCTTACTTCTAAAATCTAACAAAACTGAAGTTATTATACTTGGGCCTGAAAACCTGCTGTCTAACCATATAGTTACTTTAGATGACAGAATAGCTCTGGCCGCCAGTATTACTGTGAGGAACCTTGGAGTCATTTTTGACCAGGATATGTCATTTAAATCACACATAAACCAAGACTCTAGAATTGCCTTCTTTCACCTGCACAATATTGCAAAAATCAGGGACATCCTTTCTCAAAGTGATGCTGAAAAAATGTTCCATGGATTTGTTACTTCCAGGCTGGACTACTGTAACTCTTTACTATCAGGATGTCGATGTCCCAGTAAGTCCACAAAAAGCCTCCAGTTAATCCAAAATACTGCAGCCAGAGTACTGACAGGAACTAGCAAGAGAGATCATATCTCTCCCATATTAGCTTCTCTCCACTGGCTCTCTGTAAAATCCAGAATAGAGTTTAAAATCATTCTCCTAAAATACAGAGTCCTTAATGACAAGACTCATATCTTAAAGACCTCATAGAGCCTTATCATCCCAACAGAGCACTTGGCTCTCAGAGTACAGGTCTACTTGTGGTTTCCCTCTCTCTCTCCCTGTACATTTCTGCAGGTAGCCCTGGCTCTGGAGCCCTATGTTTCTGATGAGCAGCCACCGGCCACATCAACCTGCCCAGTGTTTGTTGTTGCATCTTGTTGATTTTCTTTTCTTTTCTCTCTCCTCTATCCGCTCACTCCAACCAGTCTAGGCAGAAGACCACCCACCAAGAGTCAGGGTCTTTCGGAGGTTTCTTCCGTTAAAGGGAGTTTTTCCTCCCTGTTGTCACCAAGTGCTGCTCAAGGGGAAGTTGTTGGGTTTTCCTCTATGTGACGGAGTAGCTCCATCACGAGTGGATGGCTGACGAAGTATGTAGGCTACACAGTCACACATGAGCACATACACGGATTAAAAAGGAGCACTATCATTTTTATATGCGCATAGAGAAACAAAGGCACAACATAATTAAGTTGCATTAGTACTTATTATGTTTCATGTTATTTTAGTTGCTGGGATGAGTGTTTTGTTGTCATTGCTGAGTTGTAGGTTCAAACATTGCGTCCATTTCTAAGGTCGTTAAATATGGTTATGTGTGTGTCATGTGAGTAGTCATCACTGTGACTCGATTAGGATGGGGCGGAGCCTAGGGTATTAAAGGCGACCCAAGTTGTACCGTGAAGCAGTTGTTTTTGAGCTGCATAGAAGGCTGTACCTGTCTTGCTGATGACTGCAGTGCTACTTGTTGCATGGTTTGTTTGTTTTTTGGAAAAATGTTTTAACCTCTTTGCAAATATCTGCATTTTTCTATTTTTCACTTTGGGGATGAGCACAATAAATTATTGGTTTGCACTGCATTTTCGACTACGCCATCTGTTTTTTTCCTCAAGAAGAATCTCGTCACACTCTATAATACTGTTTACTGTGTAAAGTGCCTTAAGATTTTTGCTGTGATTTAATGCTAAAAAAAAAAAAATTCCATTCAGTGGTTGATTCTCATTAAACTGTTTGACTTCAAAAGAGCAAAAAAAAAGAAAGAAAAAAAAAAGTATTTTTTAACTCTTACAAAATCATCTTCCTACCTTATACAACAACTTCTGAACAAATCAAATGTAAAACTGTATTTTCTGGTTACAAAATGAACTTTTGTATTAATCTGGACTTGTACCTTTTAAAATAACTTTTCTAGTAAATTTAGGACTCAGATTTCCCTTAAAATTAACATTTCACAAAATTTGTCTTGTAAAATATCAATTTTGTCTAATAGCTTTAGGACTTTTTCCATGATAAAATTACACCACTCTTTGACATGTTTTCAAGAAATGAAAATCTAATGCTACAAGTTGGTTCTCTCACAAAACCTAATCCTCAAACCACAACAACTTTCTGAAAGCTTTTTTAATCTGTGAATCTTATATTACTTTACCAGCAAGTTACACACTTGTGTGCTGTACATACAGAAGAACTTGATTTAAACACTGATCTACACAAACTCAGAAAAGCACCTCACCAATACAAAACATAGTGAACATCAATTTACACTAGCCATGTACAGACGATTACAAAGCACTATGGTTGAGCTCTTTTTTTTTTTTTTTACATTTTAGTTGTAGTTCCTGTTTCTGGTTGAGAGTTTCATTATTTATCAACCTCAATGATTCTGTATCTTACCTTTAGACTCCATGTTTTTGCTTACTATGTGGTTGGTCAAGTCCTGCTCAGCAGCTCTGAGGCTTTGGCAGGAGAGGCTGCTCACCTGAAGGATGAACTCCGTTGATGTGGCTCTTGCGGGGTTTGTTTTCACTGTTCATGTAACCACGAGGAGTTGCAGGAGCACTGATCACAGCCAAGGCGGCAAACTGAGCGCTGGCTGAATCCAGAGTCTTTGAACCGGATTCGCCTGACCTGGTGGACTAGAGACCAGACCAGGTTGAAAACCAGTCAAACACAAACAAGCTATCCAAGCACCAGACAAACTCAAACAACGTATCCAAGCACCGATCAGAAATATAGCAAATATACCGGAATCTGCACATTTTCTCTTTGCGTCTTTACACTCATATATGCATTACTGTTAATGTGCCATGCATTACATGCAGGCCCACCTCATATCTTGCTCATGCCTGAGACATGATCTCCAAAGGCTTTTAAGCTTTTGTACAAGTTAATACCTGGATATTAAAGGTAAAGCTAGGTAGCAGCTACTGTAGTTGTATTTGCACGATGTTTATGCTAAACTGCTGGCAGGGCTGTACTTGTAGCTTCATCTTCCACTTCAGTATCTTTGTTCAAATACTGAGCACCAGCCATAAAGTCCCTTACACCTGTTGTCACTGTCTCCTTTTCCTTTCTAAGCAACTGACTTTTGGCGATGGGGGTGGGAGTCATGGTTAGGGTTATTGTTAGGATTTTGTTGATACCAATACTACTCTCCATAATTTGATGCAAAAAAATAAAGATGCGATATGAAAAGATGTCAAAGGATTCAATTTTTGTTTTAATAATCCAATAACGTAATAGCACTCTTATGGGTTCTTTTTATTTTTTAAGAGGAAAAAAATGTTTTTATTAACATTGTGTTTTTTCTCATGTCAAATATGTTAATATTCTTGAGAAGCAAAGTGTGACAGCAATGTTTTAAATGACTGCAGTATGATCAGTGAAGTGTAAAAAAAAAAAAAAAAAAAAAAAAAGAAAGAGTCAGACCTTTGACAGTATTTTTAGTGTGGTGCTTTGCCTCCTACCCTCAGATCAGTAAATCCAGCCTCTGAGATTGTCATACATGCTGTATTAAGCACAACATTTGACTTGGCTTGGTATCAACTAGTTTCACTGTGCTATCTCATCACTCATCTTGATCTGGCTGAGTTTTAAGATAATGACAGACTGTGGTATATGTAGGGTTGTGCTATGTTTTGACCTCATTAGAGATGACAAGCGCAGAGCCAACCTGTTTTGGTTGACAAACAAATGGCACTGCTAATGATAGGTGCTGGCACAACTAGTTTATACACGCTGCTCTCATTGCGTGGTGCACATTGGTGTCATTTCAGCTGGTTACACACTATTTTTGTAACTTTGTAAAACAGAGTTGTAGATGGATGACAACTTGTGTCTTAGTCCACCACCCCTATTTAGTAAGGGGTGTTCTATTTGGACACAAATAGCTTCCTTGACTCCTCTCTCAAACCAGCGATGTTCTCTGGAGAGGATCTGGACTTCACTGTCCTTGAAAGAATGACCTAAAATCAAGTCAATTTTTTCTACACTTTTTCAGCTTACTATGACCTGGATGACTGAGAATCTGCACAAACATGTAATAAGGCTGTAAAGGCAGACTAGTGAGTACATGAGTCTCTGTGATGTGTAAAATCCCAGACAGCCTCTGTAATCCCATTTAACCACATCTTTTTTAAAAGACATGTAAAAGTGGGGTATTTTATAACATTTTACTTCATGGAACAAAACCTAATTTCAAGCATTAACCAAAAACACG